TTGTTTGTTTGTTTCTGTGTTTAGTTTTTTTCTTTTTCTTTTTCTTCTCTCCGTTGAGTCTTTGCTGAGATTTGTTTTGACCTCAATTTATTCCTCTAGCGTATGTGTGTGTGTGTGTGTGTGTGCGTGCGTGGGTGGGTTTCCGTTTTTATTATATTTGTTTCTGTTTGTCATTGCTTTGCCCTCAACTTAGTGGCCCCTCTCAGTCTGTAACGGAAGAAGTGGGGCACACCCCGCCGTCATGGTGCCGCAATTGTTGTTGCCCCCACTGTTTTTCTAGCGGAACTTTTCTCTTTTTTTTGTGTGCGGAGCAGAGGGGAGGGAGAAAACGCCTACAATTGAAAAAAATATGTGCCTGGTTTTAACTTTTGTTTCAGTGAATGACATCCCAACAAGGCGATAGAGACAACGACGGGGCGGCAGGGTCGGGTCCACCGTTTAACCCGCCTCTCTACTTGCAACGGGCGCAAAAAAATTTTCAAATACTACAAGGGAACAAATGTTGATCCTTTATTGACGCCGGTTGTTCCCGCGGAGATCTCCTTCGGATTGTTTTGCCTTGTCGTCTCTGCGAGAACTCATTCATTCGTGTGATGGCAATTGACTTGAACGAGGAATTCATTCGCGAGGCCAGCGTTGTGGCGCCTCCCTCTGTCTTATTGTCTCCAGTTGCGTATCTGCATCCTATGCGTATTGAGTTTGTTCGGGGTGACCTCACGAGGCCACCATGCCTCTCGTGTTGCAAAGACCGATTTGATGGGGAGGAGGAAAGCTTAAACGTGTCACCCGTCACTTCCTCGCTTTTACACTTGCCACACTTTGATGCGGTTATTTCGGTGGAAGTGTTGGATAACATAGCGCCGCAAGGTGTTCCTACTTACACCGAAGTTCTTTTTGCCCATCTGGCGGCAAGGTCTGATGCACGTGTTGTAGCCATCACGACTCCTAATCGGGATCGTAATGTGCATGCTCTCTTTGAGACTTCCGATGGTGACGCCTGTGTCAACGGTTCTCCCTCCTTTGAGGGGATTGCCACTCATCTTCCTTACCCTGTTCGCCACGTGGATCATAAGTTTGAGATGACGGCCGCACAATTTAAATGCTACTGCGATTACGTGCTGGAGGCCTATTGTCCTTTGTGGTGCTCTTACACACTGTTTGGAGTTGGGGATAATTTCACGCAAGGGGCAATTTTTTACTCTGCTTCGTCTTTGGATGTTTCTGTTTTCGTGGAGGATTCAAATGCGGCAAACACAACATTTGCGGCACTGAGAAAAAAACAAACGATTGAAAAATGACGAGATGGTATGGTGAGATCATCGGCTGAAAGCGTTCGAGCTAATGATACTCTCACGGATGGTGAAATACCTTGGGTTTACGACAGTGTGAGTCGCACACGTCTGTTTCCATGGGATGCGTTGTTTGGTGAGCTCTCACCAAAGTTAAATGCATCGCTTTTATCCTGCTCTAGGCCACCTTGCAACTACACTATTATTACCACAGTGCATGTACCGTATCTTCCTTTGTGGAAGCGCATTCGAAATGCCGTGCATGACGCATTTTCCCGTTCTTTTTACGAGAATAATTTGAAACGCAGACCGCTGAATAAGCTGAGGTTTGGAGACGTGGTTGAAGCACACGAGTATCTGTTGTTTGTACCCCTCCATGCAAGTTTGTGTTCACTTGTAACCTGTTTGCGGAAGCGGGAAGGATACTGGAAGGAGAGGGTGAAGTCTAATGGGGAATTGAAGAACACTGGAAGGGACAAATTGCTACGATTGGGCGTTGATGCATCTGTATCGGGTCTCGCAAAGGATATGTACTTTATTCTTCACTGGCTTTTGGATATCTGCTGGGGAAGGGATGTGGTGAGGCAGTGTCATTACAATGACAGCTTTGGATCATCCAAAGAAGCACTGAATCCAGGTGAGGCAAGGTTGATACTTTTTTTGGCCGCTGTTGGCATAATTCCAGGAGCTGCGAAGCACCTCTCGCACGTGTTGCGCCGCCGGAGTTGCTTCGTAGTAAGAACTAAAAGGCGGAGGGTGGGTTGTGGCAAAGTTGGCCGGATGCAGCTTACATCAGGTGGTTTGGTTGTCTCTGACGAAAATAGAGGGCTAATACAGCGGTTAACGAATGCTTTTTTGAACTTTGAGGTCCCTTGTTGCTGCTTTGGCGGGCTGACTAAACCGTAAGTGAACCCAAATTGACTCGCCCCTCCTCCCCCCCCTTTTTTTAAAAAAATATCTTTACTGTTACTCATACTACATTTGGGCATTTGCGTGTTTGTTGCAGCTGCTCCGTTGGTAGAGCGAAGGGGAAAAAAGGCTGCTTGTCTGCAGCGCAATTAGGGCTCTCTCAGTGAATGCTTTGCGCTCCATTTTCTTTTCATTTCACTGCATTATTGTTATTATTATTTGTTGCATAGCCTTGCTTTGTGCCTTTCAATTGTAGAAATGGGCGAGGACGCTCCCACCGAAAAGTCGAAACGGGACGAGACAAAAGAAGAACGACGCGCCCGCAAAGAGAGAGAGCGTGCTGAACGAAAGCTGCAGGAGCAGAATGAGGCAGAGAGGTCGGCGCAAGCCGCTGAGGGCAATGTGAAGGAGCGGAGACATAGGCGCGAGGAAACGGAGGAGGAGAGGCGGATACGCAAAGAGCGCGAACGTGCGGAGCGCAAGGAGCGGGAACGAGAGAGGGAGAAGCTTGCAGGTGCTGCTGAGGAGGATAATGGAGAGCGGAGACATAGGCGCGAGGAAACGGAGGAGGAGAGGCGGATACGCAAAGAGCGCGAACGTGCAGAGCGCAAGGAGCGGGAACGAGAGAGGGAGCAGCTTGCACGTGCTGCTGAGGAGGATAATGGAGAGCGGAGACATAGGCGTGAGGAAACGGAGGAGGAGAGGCGGATACGCAAAGAGCGCGAACGTGCGGAGCGCAAGGAGCGGGAAAAGATTAAACAAGAATATCAGCAAGAACATGATTCTAATGGTGGCGTTTCGCGGAAAGTATTAGTCAATGATGAAACTGTGGTGGATGATGAACTGCAAACGTGGCAGCAGGAAAACCAGGAGACCAAAAGAGGGGGTGTGGTGATTGGAGGGACAAAGGAAGAGCTGACTACTGTGATGGAAGCGGAAAATCGTGCGATTCGTCAGGCTGCGGATGAGGCGAGAAAAGCTGCTCGGCGTGATGAACGTCGACATGCTGAGGAGGAACAGGAGGAGGAGGAGGCGATGGAGCGACGAGAAAAGCGCCGCAAAGAGAGAGAAGAAAAAAAATTACTCCAGTCTCAGATGACGAAGACATCGGGTGCAGTGGCGGGTAAGAGCGCGCTTGGTGTGTCGGATCTGCAACGTCAAGGGTATCGAACACAATTTGAAAAGGACCTGCAACGTGCGACAGCCTTACGGCGGCTAGTGGGTATGGATGATGTTTCTGTATCCCTCATTGATGTTTCTCCGCAGTCGCAATACGACATGTATATTCGTAACTTTGTGGACACGAGTCGCAAACAGGCTGGGGTACAGGCTCCAGCAGAAGAGGATTGTATTGATTTTGAAGTACAAGCGGAAAGGGTAGGTGTGCGGCATCGCGGTGTTGAAGTACCCTGTGACTTGGGACTTTGCCCTGAGCAGTTTGCAGACCGACCGATGCACTTTGTTAATAAGGATGTTGGCCAGGGCGAGGTTGGGAACACCATGGAAAACAATGATGCTGTGGTTGAGGCTCCCCTGGGTAACGTTTCCGGCGCGCACATGGTTGATAGCACTTTGCTGGCAGCTTTTCTTGGGCGCGTTTTTCCCGTTATGCAGGCCGTTTTAGATGAGAATGATGAGGAGAAACTTGTTCCAGGAGATTTCAAATCAAAGAGTGAGACCCAGTTTTCTACCTCTTACACGACGTTTTCTTTTGCTGCCACCTGTAATCGACCTGTTCTGAAGGTTTTTTTTAACCTCTGTGCTCCGGCGTATGTGGCGGTGCTTCATGGGTTGAGGGAGGAAGAAGGTCCGTCGAGAGAATTGGACCGTTACATGTCAGTTATCGTGATTTGGAACATCTACGACTCCTCCTCACCAGAGAAGGTGCTTGTTAGCCCATTGCTTTTGACATGTATGTGCATGAGTCCACGGTGGCCCTACTTGGTTTACGCTGGAGCTGAGGATGGTTCGCTTTACGTCTGGGATACTCGCGAGCCAGAGCGGAACCACATCACAGCTGGCTGCATTCAACGAAACGCGTTTCGACTTCCCTCATTTGCTACATCATGGCAAACTGGAAATCATAATGCCCCAATTGTCGCCGTTGCTGTAGCGGGCTATAACACCGTCGTGGGTGTTCGTAAGGATGAAAGTGAGCAGCTCGTTTCGCTTGATGCCACCGGAGGGACGTATTTTTGGGTTGTTAATGAAAAGGACCAATCCAAGGGCGCAATCAGTGACACAGAGAACGGGCTGCATATGTTCTCGACAGTACGTTTATTTTTGGCAACCTCAAAGTCTAAGGATCACGTTAACGCTCTGTCCTTGAATCAGGAATCTTTTGCTTTGGACTTTGTTCCAACTGACTCCTCACATTACGTTGTGGCATGTGCAGCGGGTGTGCGACACATAAGTCGTTTCGGAGGTATAGCGGCACCCTCTCTTTACGGTCCGTGTTCTCGTTTTTTTGCGCGCCCAGTTGCCGTACCTTCGTGCGTGCGGTATGGCACTGTCGATAGCCGAATTTTCGTAGTAGGATACGATGATGGTAGTGTGCGTCTCTATCTGCACACAGACGCTGAACCTCAACTTTCCATGCCCCTGTGCAATCAACGCATCGTAGATATGAGGTTCAATGGAGGTGATAAATGGCTGCTGTGGGCGTTGGACGCTAGTGGGACGTTGTTCCTTTTGGATTTGGCGAAGAAAGACAAGGAGTTTCCGGTTTTATCGCAGTCGCTGTTAGCTCCCGATACCGGATGCTGCACCTGTTTCGATATTCCACCTGAGGGAAAAGGTGATAGCCGCGTGATAGTGCTGGGATTTGAAAAGGGAATGATTCAGTTACATACTCTCACTGACCTCACGCACACTCCGAGCACTGACAGGGAAGAGCACTGGTTGTAGTTACAAGGCAGCAATCTACCAACCACACCCTCTTTCAGTGTATGAGTGAGAAACAACAACTACAACAAAACGGAAGAAGTGTATATATATATTTTTAAAAAAGCGCTGGATTGTTGCATACAGTATTTTCTTGCTTACCACATTTCATGGGAAACTCATATGCTTTTAATGTAGTGTCATATGCGTTATGCACATGCGCATGAAGAGGTAGAGGTAGGAGCCGTGGCGGGGATATATATATATATATATATATGACAAGGAAAAATGAAAGGGGGGGAGGGGGAGAAAGAGGAAAAAAAACAAAGAAAATGCATGTAAACTTGTGTACTGAGCAACTGAAGTTGGAGACGGGGAGGAGAGGAATGTCAAGGTGTTTGGAGAATTGACCCGTTCACCCCCAGTAGGTATAGAGTTGCTCCCTACCACTGTTTCTTTTTTCGTTCCCGCTATTTTTTTTTTTTTTAATCTGCTTTGGTGGCTCACAGGCCGGAATCGAGAACCGCGACCTCTTTTTCCTGTGTGAGAGGGAGGAGACTTTGGTTTGCTGTGATAAATCGATCGTTGATTTTGTGTAAGCGTTTGACTAGTTGTGGGAATGCGGCTTGCGCTTCGCTCGGAGTGTTGTGTCGTAGAAGTGTACACATCAGTGGAGGAGCGGAGGCCACGCAAATGTTTTTCTACCGACCCAGGTGGCAGTACGCATTCCCATTTCGTTTTAAACGACTCTCCGACTTTATTATGACTAGTGGAAATTCGGCGGTCTCCGTTGCGTACACGTATCGGCATGTCACAAACAAGATTATTGTTTCGCTAATACCACTTAAACACTTTGCACACCCGCATTTTTTTCATCAGGTGGATAAGCTTTGCAGCCAACATGAGTCCGTATTAATGGAGGGGCGTACGCCTTTGACTGGTGCACCATTTTCTACAATTGTTCCTCCCCGCTAGTGCGTTCCTGCGGAGCACGAAGATGACGAAGGTTGGGAGCCGCGGGAAATTGAACGGTTTTGACAGCCTTTTTCATGGGGTGTTAAGGATTCCCCTATGATGACGATTATTCATGCTGCAAACAAATACGACCACGAAAAGTTACCCTGGTGGTGCTCGCTTCGCTTTAACGTTCCTCTCCTTGGAAGTTTTGCGCGAGAAAAACATTGCCTGGACATGATTCACCCTCTTGCATCCAATGGCTACAAGTCGTTTTCGATTCCATGAGGGGCGGTGCATATGCTCATCTTCAATGAAATACTTATAGATAATGGGTTTAAGCAGATTGGCATGTGCTCACTTTTGGTGTGTAATCGTATTGACAAGGGAATTATTGCTGGTGAGCATGAACGCTTTTGCCGAATTGAGAAACGGCATTACCGATTGATTCAGCTGGCGTGGGGGCTGGCGACCGTTGGGGGCCTGCTGCTCCTGCGTGGGATGGCCGTGGTAGAGTACCGGAAAGATTAGTGTGGTGATATACATTTTGTTTTTGTTTTGTTTGTTTGTTTAGGGGGGTTTTGAGACTCTCCTTCACCCTTACTTATTGATGTTCACATTTTACCTGGGAGTGTTTCCCACATCAACCGCCAGAGGCCTCGTTTTGTAAGTTCTAAGTGGCCGTTTAGACTGAAGGGGGATCCAACACGACCACCTCACCAGCCAAAGAAAAAGAGAAAGAAAGATAAAAAAAAAAAGGAAAGGAAATACTTTCTTCTTGTTCCGTTTTTCTCCCCTATTCTAAAGAGGAGGGTACGGAAGGCTCACACGGTTAATTTGCATCTTTATATGTATCATTGTTTCTTCCTCATGCATGCTTGCTCTCGGTACACCACTTTAGGTTTTTTTTTTCTTGCTTTCAGGACAAACGCATGGTAGCATCGGCGTCTCGTTTCAGTTCAGCCGAGCTTCCGTACTTGCGTTCGTTTACAAAGCCACAGAACAATCTGCACGTAAACAGGGGTGAGAAACCTTACGTTGGGAGGAACTCCTTGTCTCAGTTGGATGATGCGGCGGGTAGTTTTGTGCTTGGAGACGAAGGACTCACTCAGTCGCAGAGTAGTGACAACGATGAGTCTGATGAGGCACCTGAAACCCCGGCAAATGACTACGAGGATAACTTGACTCCAGACCTATATGGAGAGCGAGGCCCCTTTGAGGAGGTGTATGAATTATTGAGGAAGACCACGGTGGAAATGCACCCCTTCCTTGACATGAATGAGCAGCGTTTACTGGTCGAAAATGAACGGATGCAAAAACACTATGAGTTATTTATTTCCATGGGACAAAAACATACACGGCCTCTCAACGAGTTGAGCATCTTCAGTCGGTGTCTTCTCAACGAGGCTCATCGAGTTCACATTTCCCTTGTACGTCGTTACAATAAAACCTGCCAGGAAAAGTCACTTCCACTAAAGAATGAACAGGAGATCAATCATCAATGGCAATGTATTAAATTAGCGGTGGAGCAGGATCTCTACATGGAAGGCTTTGCAGCGGTTCAACGTCGGCTGTCGTGTATGTGCATATTTAATCCCAGCACAGATGAACGTCCATATGGTGACAATGAACATGTTCGGCATCAGCGACTGCTTCGTCAGGAGTGCGTCCTCAGCCGTCTCATGGCGCAAGCAAGGGAGGGAGGAAGCATGCTTTTTCTTGACTTGCACAAGCAGTAAAAACCGACCCCCCCCCTACCCAAAAAAAAAAAACGGAAGAGAGGTAAGAAGGCGCAAAAACATCAACAACAAGGTGAAGCGCGTATCCCTGCAAATGAGGCGCGGATGTAGAGGTTCGTTACTTATCAATACATGTATGCGCGTGCATTTTATTCCTTCTCCCTTTCTTTTTCACATTTTTTTTTGTTTCTTTTTTGTTTTTTGTTTTTTTGTTTGTCGTTTCACTCTTATCTCTTTCCGCCTGCCACGTGCATCACTGCCGTATGTAGGTACATGCGCGTGCGTGCGAATATGTTTACATACTTTCTATCTGAAATGCCGACGCTGTGACCCCCCCCCCCTCCTCTCTCTCTTTACAGCAGCAGCGCATAGGTGGATGCGCCTGCGCCTATTAGTCATACAGATGCGAAACAATCATAGAAAAACGACGATGCGCGGAACTCAGAAGCGAGATAAGGTGGAACTGCATCCAAACGACGGTATACCCACAAATCTATCTGCGACCAAGATGGATGCGGGCGGAAAGGAAGAGTGAAAAAAGTGTAAATAAAAAGAGGTAAGAGGGAATAAAGAAAAAAAGGCAACATCAAAAAATAATATTAGGGAGTGTACCTACGGCTTCTTGGAGTTCAGCGCGCAGAAACTAGAAATAACGACAGCGCTGAGTGAGGTGATAAAAACCGGTAAGCTATAGAAAAAAAAAAAAAACAATGCTAAAGAGCAACTATAACCAGCTAGGGGAAACAAAATAGAACTCGAAAAAAAAAGCCAAAGGAACCCATGAACAGAAAGTGGAGAAAAAAAAGGAAATTGTTTCAAGCTAAATCACGAGGGAACGCGAGGAAACCACAGCTGTTTTCTTTGATCCTCCTTTTTTCCGAGACCTTTTTTTTGCTGTTATTTTTCTTGTGTTAAAAAAAAATATATATATAATAAAATGTCAGAGTTGTTCTTCGTGCTCCCACCCCTTTACCTTCCTTTCCTTTTTTTTTTTGCACCTCTCTCTTTCTCTCTGTGTGTTCTCCATGGCACAAGATATCTCCATTGTGTGCACATGCATATACCTTTTATGGAGCCATATTGCCCCTGGTTTATTGCATACCCGACCACGTTTATTCTATGGGTATATTTATCTTTTCAGTGCGTTGGAAGCCATAGGGGGACCCGGCTTTGTGTACACCAAGTTGGAATTCGGCACATAAATAGGGCACTGTGATGGACCACGTTGTTGTTGTTGTTCTTGCCTTGCGGTGTCTTTGAGGTACACTTTTGTGAATGCAAATGCCGATGCACTGGGGTTATCAGTGAGGCGAGGGAAAAAAAGAAAGGAGAAAAAAAAAGCTTCGACGATAATATGTGGAGGAAATTAAGATGATATGCTGTGGTTGTTTTTTTCGCTTCCTAGCCATGGGAAGAGGATGGTGTTTGCAACGGTTTTTTTTTTTTTTCTATCCTTCTTGCTGATTAGTTTTAATCGGATTCCTTTTGCTCTATGTGTGTTGTTGTTGTTGTTGTTGTTTTTACCGGTTTCTCCTTTACAATTAAACAGACTGACACGTGAATGTGTGCGTGTGTGAGTGTATGCTTGTCAGTCTTGTATGTGTGTGTGTGTGTGTGTGTGTGTTGTTCTTGTTGGTCTAAGTGTGACGGTCGTGTGCTGGAGATGGTTTGCTGTGTTTACGTATAACGTGACGCCTTCTTTTTCTTCTTTGTGTGCAGGATTAAGTCCCTTGTCTTGTTTTGGGTTTCTCTTGTGTTTCTCTTGCTTGAACTATAGCAATTAGTTTGGTTGTGGATTCATATACCTGTTTGTATTGAACTCCGGTGGTAATTGTTGGCGCTGAGAGGAACGTGGACGCTGCTGGGAAGGCGAGGATGCTGCGGTTTATGGCACTGCTTCAGGTTGGGTTGGGCGCACCCTCGCTTTTGACGTCGCGGCGTCTCTTTAAGTCGGACGGTACACCGTACAATAGTGGTATGACGGACGCCTTGCGTGGCAGTGAGTATATTCATCGAGGCGGCGTTGAGGCAATTGTGGAGGGTGTCACCGCAGGCCAGTACGCAGAACACAAAGCCCGCGCCATCATGTTTGTTAATAAGCGCCCAGTCGAGATTATTCCTCAGGAAGAAAACTTGTTGGAGGTGCTGGAGCGGGAAGGAATTAGTGTGCCTAAGTTTTGCTATTATCCCATTCTTTCTGTGGCAGGCAATTGCCGAATGTGTTTAGTGCAGGTCGATGGAACACAAAACCTTATTGTCTCTTGCACCACAGTGGCGCTTCCAGGCATGTCCATTATTACTGATAGTCGATTGGTGCGAGACGCCCGAGAGGGTAACGTGGAGCTTATTCTCATCAACCACCCGAATGACTGCCCCATCTGTGAGCAAGCCACAAACTGTGATCTGCAGAACATCAGCATGAACTATGGCACTGACATTCCTCAATACAGGGAGGATAAGCAGGCTGTTCAAGATTTCTATTTTGACCCTCAAACTCGAGTGGTGATTAATCGCTGTATTCATCGCACGCGATGTGTACAGTTTCGTAACGAACACGCGCAGGATTTTAACCTTGGAATGATCGGTCGTGGCGATCTCAGTGAAATCAGCACCTTTTTGGATGAATTGGAAGTGAAAACCGACAATAACATGCCAGTCTCGCAACTGTGTCCTGTGGGAAAACTGTATTTAGGCGACGCTGATGAAGATAATGCCGTTGCTAACGAGCTGGGTGTGAGTGAACGAGCGCACTCCATTGCGACAGCCTAGCGGGGGGAGTAGTGTGGTGGGTGTAGTATTATGAGGGAAGGACTAGATGGGAGAGCAACTTTGAGTTTCTCTCTTTTTTTTCTTTTTTCGGGGGGTTGTGTAGAGAATGGAGGGAGTTCCTCTGTGTTTGTTTGTTTTTCCTTCTGATCTGAAACGAGAGAGAAAAATGAAGGGAAACTGCAAAAATTTATTCCGTGTGTTTCATGAATCCCAAGTTAAAACACGACATCTTTCTGCTATTTTGGGGCGGAGTAGGATGGGGGCATGCCACACACAGACACGCCCTTTCTGTGTAATCTACATCTGCAGAAGCATATGCATATATATATTTATATAGTGTATGGTGGGAAGGAGGGAGTATGCGCGGGGTGGAGGTCTTATTTATTTTAATCTGGCGAGCATTCGTTGTAGTGCGGGAAGAGGGAGGAAAGTAATGAGTGGATAGGCCCATCTTGTATGCGCGTAGGAGTGTGCCTCTGTATGCGTGCTCCCCATGTAAACTCGGCCACGTGGTTCCTCGATGGAGTTGAAATATGGTTCTTCCTCAGTTACACTCGTGGGTGCCAGCTGGTGCTCCTTCACACGAAATGGTTGTGGCCGGTATTTCAACGCAGGGGATGTGTGTATTATTATTTTTTTTGTGAGTCCCCTTTCACACACACACACATGGGCGCGCTCAAAAAAGAAGTATTAAAAACTGCGTTTTGTTTTTGTCTTTTCGCAGAGTTTTTTTTATTTTTCTCTTGTTTGTTGCTCCATTTCATGTGTGTGTGTGTATATATTTTTGTCTAGTGGAGCGTCCGATGGTGCCTACTACCATATAATAATAGCATTGGCGCCATTTTACAAACTTTTTTTTTTCTTACTGCTTGTTTGTGTTGTTAAAACCCATGTCACCTATGAAATAGATGGACACCGCAATTTCTCCTTACGATGTACTTGGCGTTCCGTTTTCGGCCTCAGTCGCGGACATTCGTGCGGCATTCAAGCGTCTAGCACTCTGTACCCATCCCGACAAACGGATATACAGCGAGCCAAATGGAGAGGTGTTAGCGGTGACACAAACAAATCAACCATTCCACGTTGTAAAGGAGGCGTCGGAGCTGTTGCTTGATCCACTGCGTCGTGCTCAATATGACCATGGACGCGAGCAGGCGTATGTGCGGTCCGTCGGTGCGGTAAGTGACCGGTATGACTTGAGCGAATTTGTCCTTGTGGAAGAGAAATGTGTCTGCGATAGCACTGGACAGGATAATGGCGTGATAAGGATGCGGGTTTACACGTTGGAATGCCGATGCGGCGGTGTGTTTGAGGTGTTTATCACCGAACGTGAAGTTGAGGCGCGAGGAGTGCACAAATTTTGTGAATGTGACTGTTGTTCCTTGGTAATTGCAGTAACAGGCGGTTGTGTGGCATTTACATGACCACAAGCGATGTCAGATTTTCTCTCGCATGGTCGCTTTGCTCGTTTTTAAATTTATCGGCCTCGCGCATTTACGTTGCGGAGTAGTGCCTGCTGTTGCTCCTGTAAACACGACTATGTGCTGCTGCAGGGGTAATAATAATGCTTACGAAATGGAGAACTAAGGGCTCCATTTTATTAAGTCTCATGAGACAGGACTTTGTTTCCTGTTTTTTGTTTTTGTTTTTGTTTTGTATTCCCCCCTCACCTTTACATTAGGATGGCGTCGTTGCGGCACTCCTCTTCGTATCATTTGATAAAAAAGGATGCTGCGCCGCGCTGGGGGTTTGTGGGGTGGAAGAGTTCCCAAAAGGAACACGCTGGGCCGTGGAGTTTCTGTTGAACGGCATGGAACAGCATTGTTTTCATCACTGCGCCTGTTGAGATGTGTGAGTGGGGCCTTTAGGTCTTCCTCTCGAACCCTATTGTGTCGGTGGGCACACACAATAATGGGGCCTGAGGAGGCAACTGACACCGTGGAAGAGGATGAGGTGACATTAGAGGATTACGAGGAGCTTCTGTTGCATTCCACTGCCTCAGAATCACCTCCCAACGAGTGTCGCGGTGACGTTGTGAAGGAGTCTGATGTACCGCACAGTCTAAACCAACCCCCTGTTGCTTCAACAATGAAGCTTGTGAACGACATCCTGGAACTCCTCCCTGCTGACGGCGCAGGAATTCGACTTACCACAATCACACCTCTTCTAGACGTGGAGGCTATAAGTGAGCTTTATGGATCTGTTCTTGCTTTCGTGCAATTGTTTCCTCATCGCTTTCAATCTTACCAGGCTGAGGAGGCTGACAGGAGTCTCCGCTGGTATGTGAGTCGTGCGCATGCTCCAAGAAGCTCGCCGCTCTCTATGGCGGTGGATGGGGTAACACGCGAGGGGAAAGTTAGGGGTGGAGATGGTAACAACATGGCCTGGCCGCCATTGAGAGTGCGGCTTCACAGCACGGATACAAAAGTTGCCGATACAAAATTGAAGTTTATTCTTCAACAGCTGCAAGACGTGTTACCTACAGACAAACCAATTTCGACAAAGGGGCTACTACAAACCTTTCCAGTGGAGCTGCAGGAATCTATTCGAGATTTGGGAGGGGGGCTATTGCGCCTTTTGAAGAATGTGCTGGCAGCGGCGTACATAGACCTTAGCGAGGATACGTCTTTCGTGTCCGTGAAAGGAATTCTATCCTCCCAAGGTATAACAACATATCATGAACTCTCAAAACAAGCAGCTTGTCTGAACACCGTGCCAGTAATGCCCCTTGCGGATTACGCAGATGACGCATGGGACGTTGAACTTGACCTGGACGAAGATAATACTGTCACTCCTGATGATGACGATGGTATCGATGGTCTCAAGCCAGACGATGAGTTTCTTCGAGTTGATGGCTCCGCCACTGCGGTTGTTCCCAGTACCACGCAGCAGCAGCAGAAGAGGTCGGTGTCTATACCTCCTGCCCCTCCAAAGCCACCTGAACGATTGGAAAAAAACCGAACACCTCCACCATTGCCCTCAACACGAAAAGAAGTTTCTGCTTCAAGGCGGATGTCATCCGAAGAACTTCTTAAGGCTCACACAGCAATGGCTTTGTTGCGTGGACGACGGTCGCCCAGTGAGATGTTGGACCTATTTGTTGAGTGCGTTCCCACCACCTACGTTCCTGTACAACAGATAAAAGTAACAGATGCTTTGGCGAGGGTGCTTGGACCGATGAATAAAATTCACAAGGTAATTAAAGTATACTCTTACTACTTTGATCGAAATAAAGAGTCCGACACTGTGCGATTAAAGCCAACACTTCAGCATAAACGTCTTGGAGCAGCCAACATTCTGTATGAGGCCGGATCTAATAAGACATCTTCTACTAGCCTTAAACACCGTAAATTACAGGAGACCAGCGTCACTCGGGCATTTTCTATCCTGCATACACCTATTCGCACAGACATGGTCTCTTGTTCCCCTCAAAAGAAGGGTGGAGCTTTTGTTGTTTCTGCATCGGATACTGCAGCTACAGTCAACAGTTCCTTTTCGGAGTGGTGTGCACTCCTTGAGGCGCTTCCACACGAACGCTACGTAGGCGTCTCGGAGTGGGCAAGTATTGCCGGCGTTGCGACTTCAGCTGTCAATTTATTCACCGAAAAAAAATATGATGCACACTATTTCTTGACACGCAACACACCTGTGAAAGGAGATGATACACTTTTATGGCGTCTTCGACCGTATTGGTTGGCACCTGGATGCACAGGAGAGCTGGGATCTGAGGACTCTTTTGAGGCTGCTGCAATTGAGAAACATCTTAAACCTATTTGGGTTCCCATTAGTCGAGTACTTCAAAAATTGTCTGCCTCAGAAAACCACAACGTTCTGGCGGCTTCCTCTGAATGCGGCGGGGTTGGACAGTGGCTTCGTAAATTTGGTCGAATGTGCTGGGTTGATAAGGAAGGGACTAAGGTGCGAAAATATTGCGCCACCGCCGACCTCGACGATATCCTACATGTTGTGGTGCAGTACTTGCACAGTACTTTATCCACCACCTTTGTCAACTTGGAGGAGAACAGTGTACGCACCAACATCTCTGGAAAGTTAACTGATGCACAGGACATGCACCAGGACACTGGTATTTGGCGACTCATCGATCACGGTTTGAAGGTGGCGCGGCAGCAAACACTTTCCTTGCAATCGCATGAAGAGGATTGCATTTATGAAAAAAAAGCTACACAAGAGAATCTTTATCTCCTCTTGAAGCGACATCCTCAACACGTGGATGTCAAGTCCGATGAGGGACATCTATGGGCAGCAAAACATTCTTTTTTTGGGCGAGGCACATGTAAATAGAAAAAAAAAACTATATACATTGCTCATGCCTCAAACGTTACTACAGAACACACACACACACACTCACACAGAAAGAGAGGGAAACAAAAGAAAAGAGAATTATTCACAAAATATGCATAAAATTCACATTTTTTACAACCGTTTAAAATTATCGCAAACACAACAAATAATAATGCGGCGCCACATTTACTAATAATAACAACAACATAATTAATAAAAAAAACATATTCATACAACATTATCTCTCGTTAACCCAACCTTTACTACTAGTGGTAAGTTGTTGTTGTTTTTTTTTTTTGTAGCGCGAATCAATTTAAGGAGCAAACATGAGTGCAAACATGAGTAATAAGAACGAGGAGACGGTGTTTAAGAACGGCGATGGTGGCTATCCCGACGAAGAGCTCCCACCACAGAAGCCGAAGAGGCGTCAGTCGGTTCTCTCCAAGGCCATTACCGAGCACAATGAAGACGACGTTGATGAAGTGCCAATTCTACCGCCATCAAATGGCCTGACGAGTGCTGAAGCCGAAGAGTTACTTGCCAAATTTGGCCGCAACGAGCTCCCTGAGAAGACGACACCTGGCTGGCTGATATTTGTGCGTAACTTGTGGGGTCCCATGCCCTTTGCGCTGTGGGTCGCCATCATTATTGAATTCGCGCTGGAGAACTGGCCCGATGGTGCCATTCTTCTTGTCATCCAGCTAGCCAACGCCACGATTGGGTGGTACGAGACAATCAAGGCGGGTGACGCCGTGGCTGCGCTGAAGAACTCGCTGAAGCCCGTGGCGACCGTCTTCCGTGACGGGAAGTGGCAACAGCTGGATGCCCGCCTACTGGTGCCTGGCGATCTTGTGAAGCTTGCATCCGGCTCCGCGGTCCCTGCTGACTGCAGCATCAACGAGGGTGTGATCGAGGTGGACGAGGCGGCCCTTACGGGTGAGTCGCTTCCTGTGACGATGGGAACGGATCACATGCCAAAGATG